ATTATCTTCCCACCTTTTTTTTTGGTATTTATTTAACCAGTATTAACAGTGTTGACATTGTTCTTCAGATACTTTTCATGAAGTGAAGAGCAAACGTGAAAGGAGAAAAGAGGTAATACCTGTTACAGCTAGTTGTTGACCCCTGGTACCCACATTCTAGTGCATATCGTCTCTTATGTCTTGAGCCTTGGAGTTGTTTGAAGCCCCTTGTGGCTCTTTCATTCTTGTTATTAATGTTGTTGTCTTCTTTGGGTATGAGCATTGATAAAAAAAAAGGCATCATTTAATCAATATGAACACATGTTTGTTTCTGGTTGTCTTATGTGTATTTTTTTTTCGTTTGATAAGCTTTCTAACCTAAAATGATGAACTAATTCTCTACCTCTCAACCACCAAACCCATAAAATTGTTATTGTAGAACGCAAACAATCGAGAGTCTGTAGAGTCACGGTGGAAAACGGGCATGCAGGGAAGGGGTGGTAGAGGTGGTCGTATAAATTCTTCTCCTCGTTATATTTCTCATGGTAAGCTGTTGTGAACTTGTGAAAGATATTTGCTTCTGCTGCATTTTATAAGTGTATATATCATTATCATCACAACATTTTGTGTGTGTACTTGTGTTAAATATGGTGTTATTTTAACACCATATCAACCTGTTCAATTGCAGATGTTCTTTCTTCAAAACTATCAATACTTTGTTCTTACAAATTCTTGAAAGAAACAAATTCTGCCTAGGTTTTGCAGTTTTTTCCCCTCACTGATAGATGAGTTCAGTCTGGTTATCTTAGTTACATATTATTCCTACTTGTGATCAGATGCTGGTGGTGGCCGGAACCCTGGACCTGGAAAAGAGAATGGAGTCAATCAAGCAATTGAGAAGGGTGGTTCTTTATCCATTCCGACTTCTCAAGAAATGAAAAATAAAGAAAAAATACCAGTAACAAGGTGATTATGGTTTCATTTTGGATTCTCAGTGGTTATAGGTTGATTGTCCTTCAGTTACAATTTTGCGTGTAGCCTTGAGGATGGAATTTTGAACAAGTTGATGATAAATTGTCTTTTGCAGCTCTGTATCTGTTGGAAATGGTTCCACGAGTCTAGCTTCTGGAAGTGTTTCTGAAGTAACTTCATCTTTGGCCGACATTAGTGGTAAAGGGAGTGCACTGCCTCCTATAAACGCACACAAGAACCCAAACCGTGCACTTGGCACAAGGCCCTCAAGTGAGCAGCCCATACCGAACACTGATAACAGTGTGGTACCAATCACACTAGCATCTTCATCATCGGCATTGAGCTCCTCATCTTTAGATCCATCCAGTGAATCACAGCTAGCAGGTTCCATGGATGCAATTAAATGTGATGGGGGTAGCTCATTGCATCCTAATGAGCCAAGCACAACTAATCCCATGGAAAATAAATTAATTCTTGGTCAGCACAGGACTTTTGGTTTTTTTTTATTTTGTTACTGTGGGTATTAACTTATGATTAAACTAATCCTTTTATTTGCTGTTGGCTGAAATAGAGGCTTTGGAGATTAGCAACTCTTTGGCTCAGGAAAATCAACCAATTAAATCTCCAAGAGTTGAGGAGAGTCAGCTCAATGAGATTTCGCCGCCTTCTGTGTCAATGCAGGGCAGCTCTACCGTTAGCTTGCCTTCTAATTATAATAAACGGCCACAACAAGTAATCGGCCCCCATAAAGGTACGAAATTAGTTTTGTATCAGTTCCTCCATAAGCATGTTTTGACTACATATGAAAATGCTTGAAGTTCTGATGGCTTTGTTCCTCATATCTCAAATTTGTTTACTTAAAAATACAACCAGATGAAAATTTATGTCTCCATTTTCGACGTTAAAATCCATTCATTTTCAACATCTTGTTCGAAAAATTAAAAGGAAAAAGGATAAGCTTTCTTTCATAGTTAGGTCATTTCCATAGATTTGTAATTATTCCCTTTATATTGTTCTCAACTGGTGGGTGGTTTTGTTTTTCTTAATAAATTAAATAAATTCATCTTTGTTATAAACAAAAACAACCTCTGAAAACATGAGCCAGGAACAGAGACAACTATAAAAAATGATTCCAATTATAAGGATGGTTACAAAAAGATTTCATAGGGAACACTCAAAAAGAAGCATTGAAATAAGCCACATTCCACAATCCACATATCCTTCCAAGACCCGTCTATACCCTGAAAGTTCTCCTGTAATAATATCTAAGAAATCTACTTTCCAAAGAAGGTCATCACCATCAAGGAAGGGGGGACTGACTAACAATGCCTCCCTTATGGTCCCGGACCTCTCTAATCTTTATTTAGAACCATACTAACACTAAATGTTTGGGAGATATTACCCCAAAATTTTCATGGCAATTCACCTGATGCCACCTCCATAGTTCTTACACAAACACACTATTGAAGATCCAAAATGATCTTTGGATGAAGTGGTGATAATTCATCCCGAAGCGATCGACCAAAAAAGCAATTTGTTCTTCCTAAGGACTTTGGCCTCCCAAAGCTTGATGAAGAAAGGGGACCAATAATGTGTACTCTCATTTATAGCAAAGTATTCCTTGATCTCTCAATGTTCAACGGCTTGAAGACTCAAAACCACTGTCCAGTATAACGACATGGTAGTTGGGAAATTCTTATAATCTTTAATGTCTCCAGTTGGTGGTTTAAGTAGTCTACTACGTATGACCACTTGGTTGAGTTCTAGGCTACCTTTGTTTGGTCCACTTGATTTTATTTTTATTTTCTGTTTAAAAAAAAAATGAACACTGCATTGTTGCGACTTCATGTACATGGTTTCTATCTATGACAGCTAGTTCTAATAAGGAATGGAAACCGAAGACTACAAATTCAGTTGTTATCCAGCAATCTAGAACTGTTGGTGCGGCTGCTGCTACATCTGAGGTTCCAGCTGTTACCTTTGATCACACCGATCATTTAGAACCTGCTTCAAGGGTCCTTGATTCAGAAGAAGCTACTTTAAAACTGCAGAAGAAATTGGAAGAGTTGAATGTATCAAAAAGTCAGCTTGTTATTCTTCCAAACCACATTCAGGTTCCTGAATCTGAACGATCGAAGCTAAGCTTTGGAAGTTTTGGCATTGGTTTTGGAGTTTCTGCCACTGTTCCAAGCGGTCCTGAGAGTGACCAGAGACTTACACCTGTGTCTGAAGCTTCAGTGGATGCTGATGAAAACGTAGAGGAAGAAGCTTCAAGGTTGGAAATTTTTCTTCTTGATTTGTTTTGAACTTTGATAATGTCTCCAGAACAGTTTATTTGCTGTTTCTAAAATGTTATCATTATCTTGGTTCCACTTCTCATGTTGAATAATTTTTGTTGGGGGAGGTTGGGTGTGTGCTCAAGAATAATTAATAAATGGAGAAAAGGTATGTTTAAGAATAATTACCTAGAGGTATCATTATTCCTGATTAATGAAGAATATAATGTCTCTCCTGGTAGATTAAATTTTTTTATGCGCACTAATGAGGAACTGCTGCGGCTACCTTTTCTTTACAAAATTTACATGATTGCATTTCAGTTATCCTAATGCACTGAGAAGTAATGAAGACGTAGATTCTCCTGATCGTCCACAATCTCCCACTCATATTCCTGAAAATTTATCACCCAGTGGAGGCGATCTTTCATCAAGCACAATTCAAGAGTACAATGAATTAAAGCAGGAGACAGGATTACCTTCTGGTGGCAATACAAACTCCGTTGCTCAAACTTCTTCAAGTTACAGTTTTGGTTTGATCTCCCCTGTAGTTGGGAGTCAGATTGCAGCAGTTGAAAACTCCGATTCTCAAGGCCGTGATGCTTCTCGTCTTCCCAGCTTTGTTGTGAGTACTCAACTGAGTGCTTTATTATATGCAAATTTTTACGACTCGTATGGTCGCCTTGTAATATCTTCAATATTTCACAACATTAAATACGAGACTTCTTTTGATTTGGAGTGGTCATTTTGTACTCCCTATTGGTCAATTAGTTTCACTGTCTTAAATTTTTTTTGGAGATGTTCATATTAGATACTTTTCTTGTAGGTTCAACAACCTTTCGACCCTTCAAGTTACTATGCCCAGTTTTACCGATCGGGTGAGAATGATGGTCGACTTTCCCCCTTCCTTTCTCCTGGAGTTGCCGCTAAGTACAATGGCAATGTTGCATTGTTGTCTCCTTCGAGCTCCCAATCTCCTCAAGAGGTATGTTCTGAGGACTACCTTTTATTTGTTCATTGTTATTATTATTATTATTTATGTTTCCCTTGAGACAAATGTTATGGAGGATTAATTGTTACACTTAGGCCACTATTATCTTCAGATCTGAATTCTTAATTTTCTGGGGTTGCGTTGTTCTTTTTTGTATGCTCGACTCATCTTCTATTATTTGAATTACAACTAGAAAACTCTTGAATTTTTCTGATCTCTCTTATAAGCCTGTTTTCACGATCTTCTTGCTGTTTTCACGATCTTCTTGTCTATAGGTGATCCATCTGGAACTAGTTCTTTAGATAAACATGTAGAATAGCATCTTTACCTTAATGATGAATGTGCTTCAATTAATTAATTTATTTTCCATTCCACTAAGACATTTAAAGTTCAACTTCAAGCTGCCCCCAGTCTTCTCATACCCCATTATTTTTACCTTGAGTTTGGGTTATTCTTTTTTGAAACTTAATATGATGGTCAGTCAATAAACTCATACATGTCGTTAGGCTTTTATCCTAAACAACACGAAGAGCACTTATAACAATGTAAATTCCTTCAATCTTTTTTAGATTTTTTAAATTTTTTGTGCCATTGTTTATTTGCTTGCAGGGCGTGGTTCTGACTACAGCAGGCCCGACAGCACTGTTAACTCAAGCAGCTGGGCTTATGCAAAGCTCTATAGCTGTGACTCAGCAGCCTGTCCCCGTATTTCGACCTCCAGCTGGGGTCCATATTTCTCATTATCCCCCCAACTACATACCATATGGTCATTATTTCTCCCCGTTTTATGTTCCACCCCCTCCCATCCATCAATTTGTTGGCAATAATGCATTTACTCAGCAACCTCAAGGAGGTAATATCTATCCAGCTCCGCCAGCAGCTACTGCTGCAGTTAAATATTCAATTCCGCAGTACAAGATGGGAGCCAATTCTGGTAACTCCTCTCACATTGGTGTGCCAAGTGGCTACGGTCCTTATGGTTCCTCAGCATTTGGTTATAGCCCTAGCACTGCTGCACCGGCTGGAAATACCACTGCAAATGAGGAACTTGGTGCATCGCAGTTCAAGGAAAATAGTGTATACATCACTGGACCACAGGTTGGTGTTTCCTCTTGATTTTCATTCTCTTCAAGTTAATATGTTATGTGTTCTTTTGAAAATAAGATAATAAACAATGTCACCAATCCAAATCCTCAATAATCATATATGCTAAAAGAGAAATGAAATTAACTGTGAAAGTCGTACACTTTCTGGACAATATGATTTTTTTAAAATCAAAGATGGTAACTGCTCATTTTTATTTGTTTCCTGTCATTATCATTTATTTTGGAATGGAAAAAGAATATGGCTCTAGTATCTTAACTGGCCAAGTATCTAGCATTTTGAAGGTCACATCATGCAGTTATTTTCTGATGAAGAAATGGAGGATTATATAAGCCTTACTTGATGTTATTTTCTTCCTTGTTTACCCACGGCGCCTAATTAAGAAACTGGAAACTTCACTCAAAAAAATATTCTCTTTAAAAATGGAAGACAATTTTTAATTAAAAAAATCATGATAGGATGAAAGTGAAAATTATTAGGGAAAATGAAAAAGAAAAGAGAAACGATATGTGTTGCTGTTTGCATGTGTTGTGTTCGCAAATTTATGAACAACTATTGGATATATAATGATTTACTATTTTTTCAAGTACAGACTGACTCAAAGTGAACAAAGACAAGATAACAATATCCTTTCAAATTATTTTGTAGTTGACAAATAATCTAAGAAACTGTTTAAAAGATATAATTTAAAGAAATAATATCAAGAATGGATTTGAGTGGCCCTTACTACCATTCCATGCAATATCATGTAGTTTGTGATGGCAGAGGTACATGGACATAATTGTAATTTTTCCTCTTCCTATTCAGAGTGAAGGTTCAGCAGTATGGATTGGTGCACCAGGACGGGACATGTCAAGCTTGCCCGCAAACTCGTTCTACAACCTTCCACCGCAGGGTCAACATGTGACTTTTACCCCAACGCAGACAGGTCACGGTACATTTGCCGGTATCTATCACCCGGCACAGGCAGTAACTGCAGCAACGGTCCACCCGCTTCTGCAACAGTCACAAGCCGTGGCTGGAGGAGTTGATACGGTAGGACCGGGAGGTAGCATTTATCAACAACCTCAACACTCGCAGATCAATTGGCCAAGTAACAATTAGGTAACAACAAATCAGAAGTTAAAAAAAAAAATTAATATTGGGATTTTTGGGAGAGCTCCCAGCAATTGTGGATCGAGATGAATATCATCATCATCAGGGGAAGAGTTGCTATTGACTGGAGAATGTTTTAGGAGGCAGGGAAAAGACTGATTCTACTGTTTGCTTGAAGTGAGTACATGAAAGGTGCAGCCCACCTATAACAGATATTTACCATTTTAAGTTAGTTCACAACTAGGCATGTGCAGTTGTTCTATTTCTTGCAGCTGGTGCTCTATATGGAATCTCTCTCAATTCTTCATTTGATAAGCTTTTCCAGCGTTTCTATTGTTGAATTCTTCAAACTGAGAGAATTTGCAGTCAAAGTGTTGAGAAATCTTTTTGCATTCTTTCTTCTTTAATTTGGAGATCTTATAGGGGCTTTCGAAAGGTAAGATATAGGCTGGTGAAGAATTTTTCCTTCTCTTTAATTTTTCAGCTACCTTACCTGTAAAGTTATTTGATGATAGCAAGAAAAAAGTTGTATTCATGTAATCCAGAAAATGTGAATTGTTTTGGTTGACTCATTTATATTTCAATACTTTAGTTCTCATCTTTCTCAATTAAACCATGGGTTTTATTTTCTTTTCTTCATTTCCTTCCATGTTTGAACAACGAATGAGCTACTACTGAATCAAAACTTGCCAATTCAGAAGAACAAAACGATCATCAGAATCATCAGAATCAGTTTCCAGTTATTGTTTTCTGTTTAGTTATCATCATTGTGCTCTATCGAAAACTTTAAACTCTCCAACAGGTACTTGTGGGGTCTGTTTGAAGTTCTTGTCAAGTCCCATTTACCAAATCCCATACATTTTTTCAATTCTGTTCAGGTGATTTTATTTACAGTCACAAAGGCTCATGCTGGACCCATCTTCATTTGTCATTATACTGATGTCCCAAGGGGAAGCCCCTTTTTAGGGAGGACAGTCCCTGTGGGGTCTCAAGGGAAGGCTTTTCTATCTCTGGATGAACCCTTGTCCCTCCCCCATAGTCGACTAATCGGACGGTAGTGGGCAGTGAATGTGGAAAAGAATGAAAAAGAACAAAAGAAAAAGGGAAGTGACTAAAATATGAACTATAAGATATAAGAATGGATCTTAGTGAATTTGACAGATATTTGTGGCTTTGGCAGGAAATTTGAACAAGTCATTACAACTATGGCTACCTGATAATGCGAAAAATTGAATACAGAACTACTGCTACATCAGTTGTAGAGCAGCCAATAAAGAGCATTAATGTCTATTAATATTGTGACTACTATTACATTACAAGGACAGGAATCTTACGCTAGAAGAACAAAACTGCTTGGTTAGCACTACAACAAATCAAACTCAATAATTTGAAAAGTTTGTCAACCATCTTGCCACCCTTTTGAAGGCATCTCAACTCATAATCAAGGATGAGTTGTTTATATAATGCAAATTGTCTAGCTATAATGGATTCTTTGGGTGCGAATTAAAGAACCTGTGAGCTCGAACGCAATTGTCTTTATCTCCCGCTTGCTTTCCATTTTTTAACCGGAAAGAAGGTCACTTTTTTGCTAGAGTTGTTGCTTCTTGCGTCCGATGGTTGTAACAAAGAAATTGGTCCTTGACTCTCATTTCTGCTCAACTTATCATCTACAAATGATTTCACCTCAAATGCACCTCTTGTGAATCCTCTAGCAACCTAAAGGATTTCAACTTCAAATTTGAGAATACCTTTACAATGCAAATTAGGAGTGTTTGGAGATATGGATTCTTAAAAAATAACTTTTGACTGTCAAAAATGTATTTTCCCACTAAAAATGTACCTTTAAAATGATCCAAACTTTCAGGGAACTACTCAGAATTGCAAGTCTTGTCCTTTTTCCTGAAGTTAAGTAGTCACACATGTGGTGGTCAACCCTTAAAATGAACTTTGGCCAGGATTTTGGATTTTCAGGATCTGGTTTCTGCTTAATTGTTGCCTGACCACAATGGAAAGAGAGAGATAGTGTCACTCACATCTACGGAAAGCCACAGTAACAAATAGAGACGTGATAACAGCATAAACCAAATAGTTATTCCCGAGAGTTGGCAGACAGGAGAATTTGAATAAGAATGTAAAATATTTTACTTACAAGCTGTCGACAGATTTCCTGCTCGATTTTCGAAAACAAGGTTTCCAGAGCTTCAACTCTTCCAGTACCATGACAGCACGAGCATGGTTCACTAATCATAAAAGTTACACTTGGTCGAACCTGTCCACATTATGACTCTCAGATCCTATCGTGCTAAATGGTCGATTGACATAAATGAAGTATACACTTCAAAAACTTAGATACATTTAATAAACAAGATGTAGATCCATATAATTTTCAACTGGTCGAATTCCAAGCTTTTCAGTGATCACATCCATCATATTATTAGGGAAAAAAATTATTTGGAATAAAGGAAAGTTTGGGATACCCTCTTTCTTGTAATTTCCATAAGTCCATGCTTGGATAACTCAGAAACTTTCACCATTGACCTGTCTCTCTCAACTGCTTTCTTTACTTCTTCAAAGACTAACCTCTTATTTGCTGAAACATAAGAATCCCACGTCATTAACTAGAAAGACAGACATAAAAGTGACTCTGCTTCATGCTTCCAAAAAGACTAAATATATGTTTTAGTCTCTAATATTTTGGTGTTTTTTCAATTTACATCTTATTTTTTAGAAAGTTTCAACTCAGTTCCTCGTGCTTTTAACATTCTTAAATTATAACCTTTCTGCAGATTATTGTTAAATTTGGCTAATGATAAGCTCGTCTAGAATGATATTTGGTGAGTTGACAAAAGGGGAAATTAGAAACTTTCCTCTTAGGTAACTTCTTACTCTAAATTTTTGTTCAAACTCAGTACCTATCCTGTCATGCAAGTAGAAAAGATAAAATTAAAAAATGTTAAAACATACAAAACTATACTGAAACCTTTTAAACAATAAGAGCTCAATTGAAAAAAGAGCCAAACATGAGGGACCTAGAACATATATTTAGCCTAAGAGTGAGCAGGAAGAAGGGGAGTGATAGATATGGGGAGATTGAACTTACATTCATCTACCATGTCAATGAAATCTACAACAATAATTCCACCAATATCCCTCAGTCGCAATTCCCTTGCTATCTGAGAACATATGTTGCCAATCAGATATTTAGGATAGCTGCTATTTATAGGGGTAAATAACATAATCAGAATTCCATAGTTAATAATAAATACAAACAAAATATAAGATATTCAAGCAATCAACCTCAACAAGTTAAAAAATTAATTATGCTCAGGTATCAACACATAAACCCAGAGAGGCTTGATCCAGACTACAAGAAAGTAACAATATAACTATATTGCAATATCAAAGATGAAATTACAATATCAATATCCTTTTGAGAGAGTTATCTCTCTCCCAAGTTTCTCACCCTAGAGTATTCCCAAAAGATGTCCTCTCTCTACTACCTCTATTTATATCCAACTTACCCCTACCTAATTACCATAACGTCCCTAACTAATATACTAATTACTAATACTATTCGCAAACTATCCCTAATCGTACTCTTACAAAGGTATACACCTCCATAGCTCAGCAAAAAGCAAGGTCTAAGATATAAGAAGAGGAGAGATTCCTAATAGAGAAAAGTTCTGTACAATGTGAATCATGAGTTGCATTTCGATTGCAAGAGAAGTAAACAAAATCAACTCAGCCAAAAAACTACAGTCGTGTAATACAGAGATGGTGCAAAATATCATTATTCTACATACCCGTCTTGCAGCAGCAAGGTTGACCTCTAAAATAGCTTTCTCCTGCGAAGTCACTTGACCAAGCACCCCATGTCCTCCATTCACATCAATGGATACTAAAGCCTCAGTTTGTTCAATTATTAGAGAACCTCCATTAGCAAGTGGAACCCTGTGAACAAATAGATTTAACTAATATACAAAGAATAGCAGCAATGGTATTGCATTGAATTGAATTCATTTTACATTCAGTGGAAATGCTATTGATAATCCATAAAATTTCACATTCTCAAATATTGTGATCTACAGGGAAGATAAAGACATAATCTTCCAGCTTCGAGGACCAAAAATAAACAGGGGAAAACAGAAGACGAATAAATTATAAGTGATTATTGGAGGATTATTTAACCCTCGTGTTTAAATTCAATTTCCCTTAGTGAGGAGGAAGATCAATTAAGATGGAGCTTGGATTCTTCAGAAACTTTTTCGGTTAATCCCCTTGGTAAACCTAGAGATTCCTCCTCATCACAGCCCAAAAATTATTGCTCAAAGTTGTAGAAATCGTTCAGTCCGAAAAGGGTGAATGTCCTATCATGGATTCTCCTTAATTGGAAAGATTAATGCAGCAGAAATTCTCCAAAAGAAGCTTCCAAACATGCTCCTTCTGTCTATGTGTGTTTTGTGTGCATGAAGACCAGATACATTTATTCATATTCTGTCCGTATGCATCAGCTTGTTGGGCTCTTTTCTTCCAAACCTTCATATGGCCTGGGTATAAGATAGAGAAGTCCGAAGACAACCTTTCAGCTTTTGCTTGGCCACTCCTTGCCTCCAAAAGCAAGCCTTCTCTGGGTGAATGGTATTAAAGCTCTTACCTCCAAATTATGGTTTGAGAGAAATCAAAAGGAAAAAGATCAGATTTGAAACGCTTCAGTATTGCCAAATTCAAAACTTTATAGTGGTATGCTCTTTCCAATCTTTGCTCTAATTGGGAGGCCTTACTATCTCTACTGTTTAGCTTTACTTTTGAGTGTATTACTGTAAGTCTGTATCTGGTATCTTTTTAGCTTCTTTTTGGCTGGTTTGTTGTACCTTTTATTTCTTTCATGTCCTTTACTCTTATCACCCTTCCGAAAGTTTGTATCCTTTTCATTTAAACTTGATTTCTTGTTAAAAATAATATATATAACACAGTGATTATTTAAAATGTTGAAGTCATTGAATCATTTTATCATTTTCTTTTTATTTTTTTAATAACTGTGGTATTTGAGGCCCCATGTATTATGCTCATGGCTCACCCCAATTAATCTCCAAGGAGACCTGGTGTGCTCAAGGCTAGCAAGCAACGGTTTTAAATTAGCAAGTTTTCAACTTGAGAGCTTGATGTCAGAGGCTATCTCCAAACATCCCAAGTACTTCACCTATTTGATCATTTTTCTTCAAAGTAACGACTTGGGATGGAGCTGCAAGGCTCATCTGAGTTTTTGAAACTTGCAATATTGATTCTTTTTCTTCTTTACTAATTATAAAAATGAGGAAACTATCAAGATTTATGAGGATGAGCAAGAGATATTGGCACAAGCTGTATGAATAGTGATTGACTACCTAAGCAATGCTGAAAAACCTCACCTCTTACTGAGGATACTATTGATCTCTTCTTCAATGTTGAATTTATCAAAAAGGGGAATTCCTTCATTGTATAACTCAACTCGATCACAAAGATCCGGAGCAATTTCCTGAAGGTAATTAGTGACCTGCAAAAAAATGTATATGTTTCACACAATTTGGAGCAATAAAGGATGAATCATGAAATGGTATGTCCCCTTTTCTGCTTCCCAAGTTTCAGGCCTCCAGAGAACCCACTCCCCATATAAGGCTAATTTTGAATTGACTATAGCTATCTGAAACACTAAAGACAATGATTGCAATGCCCCTTCTACCTTAAATATCACATCTACAGTATGTGGCGAAATGAAAAATTAGACATGTTTGATACATAAACATAAAGATGCATTCCATCTGCACGATTTATGACTAACAATCAGCTGATCATGAAGTATTATCACTTTTTGTAGGAGTGCTTACGGTCATGCGTTAATTTAAAATGGACTAAGAAGTATTATCAAGTATTTGCAACAAGAAAAAAAAAAGTAAAAAAGTGAAGTGGAAAAAAAACAAAAAGAAAATAAATAACAAAAAGACATGGAAATGTTCATCGTTCCGAGGAATTTAACATCACCTAATGTTGAAATCAAATTATACCTCGTGATATGTCCTTGGAGAGTCAACTGCCATTCTTTTAACCTGCAAATCAATTGAAAATAACAGGGCAAGAATGTTAATTGTTCAGCTATAATCTCATGATTTAAGTAATGGCACAGACAATAATGAATTAGAACCACCTTCTCATTAAAATAATCTTGGACAACTGAAAGCGTTTGGCCCATAGCCCTATGGAGAATAACTGGAACAGCTCCCTCAACGCCTTCATCTGCAGCTAGAGCAGCTGATTTTGCATGTTCTGTTATAGTTTTCCAAGTTGAAATCAGACCCTCCAAATCTTTTCGTAATTCTTCTAAAGAATGACCAGCAGCAACTGTTCTTACAGTCAAACCAAAACCTTGAGGCTGTAAAGTTTTAGCTATAACTCTTAAGCGGGTACGCTCGACACCAGAAATTTTCTTTGAGATGCCAATTCTATCACAACGAGTTTTCAATATCTGCAAGCCAAGTAACTTGGTTCAGAGCACACCTAGAAAAATTGTTTGATATAACGATGAGTTGAGAGAAAAAATATTCAATTAAAACATAACAGTTTATGCATGAAGCATAAATGTTGAGGAACATACCCAAAATCTGCTTCTTAGTTGTGGGTAAGCAGTCAGTGTGGGGCCTTTAGTCCCTAACCCCTCTTTGACTACCTGGACAATTATTTTCGTGCCTTTCTTTACTTGGAGCCACTTATTATCATTAGTCACTCTCTTCTTAGAATCCCTTCCATCTTGGAGAAAAGATATTTGAGAACCATTAGAATAATTTGTGGTAGCTGAATAACTGATGCTAGCATGACCTTCTAAATGATGTTCCTTATCATCTATGCAGTCTTCAAAGTCAGCATCAAGATCACCATCATCATCTACTATGCCACCATTCACATTTTCTCTAAGAACCTCTGAAACATCAAAGCCATCCTCAACTTCATTTTCCTCGTGCCCATCGTGCATAGATTGCAGCAAAGTGTCTTGAAGTTCAAATTCTGAAACCCCATTGATTTCTGTATTACTCAATTTACTTTCAGCTTGTGATGCCAGTTGTTCTTGTCCGGAGCCATTGACTACTTGCTTATCTGTCCTTTGACGAAAAGGAGGGAATATGAAGGGTTCTCTGTTTTGTTTAATGTCCATTAGGGAGGGTCTAGAATTTCCAATATTCACAAACGCACCGCCCATGTGGGGAACAAGTTTTGAGACAATACCTAAATACACACTATCACACTGTACATTACTTTTAACTGGTTCTAGTAGCAGCTCTACCAATTTCTCTTCTTCCAATACAGCAATTCGTTGCATGGTGCATATTGATGAATTAATCAGTATGATGGTAGAAATAGGTTCCTTTAACATTGTATAGATGCCAGCTGCAGGCAAAAGATTCTTTGTATCTTCCAATTGGTGCTCTCGAGTTTCTAGTAGTGTTGTTTCTTCTTTCACAATGACATCATTTTTCAGCAGATCAGGTTCCAACACAGTCTTAGACAGATCAAATAAGAGAGGTAATTGAACTAACCATGGTTCCTCAACAGGCTGATGTCTGTGAGAATCTGAGCCCGTACTTGGACTATCCATTGATTCCTCATGATCGGAGTACAATTTATCATAAATCATGGAACCATTCAAAATTAGATTGGGGTCAATAGAATCACTCTCAAGACATTCTTCTTCAATTTCACGTTCATCTGTCAAATCACTGGAAGCATTTAAGTGTTCAGAAGCATTTTAAGAGAGAAAGTTGCTTGAAAATGGAAACAGAAAATGAGATATTACCTCTGGCTGGAAGAGATTTCACTGGTATTTCCTCTATCCATGAATCCCATGTGAGAACTGGAGGGCATGTGATACCAAACCTCATCCATGAATCCCTCACCATGATTTTTTTATCATGTTTGACCGTTTGAGGTAGGGATAGAGAGAACTCTGGTCCAGGTCTCCAAATGATGTCAGATGAGGGCAGCGTTTCTTCCTTGATAAAATAATTGTACTTGAAATTTATGCCACAAGCTATCTGTGAAAAATGTATAGAAGGACTTCATAACTTTGAAACATAATGAAGCAGAATGGAAGTAAGCACTCCATTTATCTATTCATTCCCATGTAAGAAGGGAAGTAAACAGGGAACCTGAGCATAGCTTAATGGTTAAAACACTTATACCTAGGAAAGAAGGTTTGATCTCTCATCTTACATTTTTTGTACTCAAAACCAAAGAAAAAGAAAAAAAGAAAGAAGGGAAGCAAACAGTTCATTTAATTCTAAAAGTCCTTGTTACCAATTACAAATAAATTATATATCGTGTTATGCTTTTGAGCAAATGTATCGATAAAGCCTAAAACAATAGAACATAAAATAGTACTGGCATCAGTAGTTATCTTTACATAAAGAGTAAGAATTGGTGCATATATTAATAGACAGAGGGCATATGGTGAAGGTATTTTATGGCACAAGAAAAAACATCAACAACATACAACACGTTGCTGTTTGTGTCATCACCTTGACTTCAGCCTTCCATAAGTTAGCATGATCAGTCGGAGACATTTGAATCGCCATTTTTGGTTCCCAGGAGCCTAACGCGATAGGCTCCCCAGTTAGGTAAAGAAGCTGATCAGCTTCCAAATCAGCTTCAATAGTCCAAACTACTTTGCATATTCCTTCAGAAGCAATTGAAGTTCCATCAGCAATTCTAGTCAATAGGAAGGTAATGACATGAAAAGAGAGCAATAATGTTATACTTCTTTTTCTAGGGATAAAGACACAGATATATGCAAAAGAGCACCAAAAAAGGAAGGACAATCGAAGGGAAAATGGTTTAGAAAACCCTCCCCAAGCACTAAACAATAGCAGCTTCCCAATTATTTACAATAGAGTTAAAGCCATAGTTACAAAAGAATTTCTTGTGGTTTATAATCCACCAAGGAGCAGTGTATTGTATACTAATACAAAAAGAATCCACAGAGAAATTTTTTCCTTCAAAAAGCCTGCTATTCCTCTCTCCAAAGAAGCCATAATAAAGCCTGTGCTACCCAATTCCAAACTATTTGAGCTTTGCACTTCAGGAGCGATCCACTAAAGACTTCCAACAACCACACATCAATCTTCTAGGCAAGCAAAAAGAGATACCCAAGCTAGAAGCAATAATATTATACTTATGATAATTTGGAATTTGATGTCAATTTTAGATAAATGACTGGTTAGAGCAACCAAATTATTTCCCTATTGATAAAGAGACTTGCAAGTTACTTTGCAACTTTACATGCATATTCAACTGTGTGCTCATTATTCTATGGTAGAATTTCTATAAGGAAAATTTTCAAGCTTCTAGAAGACTAGATCGCATGAGTACCAATATCTCATTTAAGAAACAGTCCTTGACGAAAAGACATGTAACATCGCAATTGGCAAATGCATACCTTCAACTACGCTTCAAAACACTTCAGCAGGACAAGTAAAGAACTAGCTTGAACTATATTGGACTAATTTGATATGAAAACTCATTCAATTATTGAGCAATTAACTGCCAACCCAGAAACAGGGAACTCAATTAATGGTATGTATCATCTCCACATTGTCATGAGAGACCAAAACTTTCAGAAATGTACTCATATCCAGCCAAAAATTGATCATAAATTTATAAATAAATGACTGATTACCTTTTCTAGTCGACATTATAGGTGATCTTCCGACATAGTTATTATGCCCTGTGCAGAGACGGAATCTCACCTTTCCAAGCGGCAGGTGCTGGCATATATACCTGCTTTCACATTGTAAGTTTTATAGAGAACAGAAAGTTTGGTATGATAGTATATTTAGCCCATTAAAGGCGCATTTTTCATAGTATTCGGTTACTAGTAATTTCAAAAATTCTTAAGAGAATTTATGGTTTTAGAAGAAGTACTCAATTAGACTTATTCCAAAAGTGCTTCACTAAAAAACACTACACTTAAAATCCAATGAGGGCCTGGAGGAGAATGCTATTGCCATATATACATGTAAAGTAAAATAGCAGCTAATTCATTATTGTAGGTCTTGAACAACACACTTGTCTAATCCATGCATATATTGATGGACGATGGCACTAACAAGTAGCTTTCACTTTTCCACGAGAACCAGGTTGCTTCATGAAACAGCCTCAATGTACAATCAACCATTAAAAAAATTTCCTTCTAGAATGACATACATCAAGGACTGAAGCTCATATAACCCATTTCCATCATATGAATTTGTACTAAGAAACCCCATAGAAAATAGAAGGCATACCAGACCAGAAACGAAAATGGCAACCGAAGGCGTCCTTGAAATAGCAAAAAGAAAGAACCCACTAAATAAATCACACAAGCGTAGAAGAATGCGTTTTTCTTTTGTAACTTACGGAGATGGAGACAGAAACTTGTCGGCGCATGGTGGCGAATGACAAGAGAGGGGCAAGCGGCGATGGAATATGAGATGGTGAGGCGACGAACAAGCCTCAGGAACAGCCATGAACCGAGGTTGATGATGAAGTTCAGAGGAGCAGCGGCAGAGAAATGGAGAACCCATGGTGGGGTAGCCAAAATTGGTGAACTGAAACTGGCAGAACAGCCAGTTCCGTCATAGAGAGCGATTTTGAGCGAAGTTCGGATAACGAAGTGAATACACAGAGGAGAGGACAGTCGTGAAAGAGAAGAGGCTGAACCGATAGGATTTTTGCTTTTGTCTATGCATTGGCGCCTTCCATGGCACGTGTGATGGGGTTGCACACGAGTGTTGTAACTTGCTGAAGAGTTTTTATCCTCCATTGGAGATCAACCAAAAAAAAACCAATTTTGGGATGAAGGGCAATTGTAAAAGAGCAAACTTTAGTCAAATTTTGCCGTCGTTATCTGTCAAATTTTGTCAAAAATCTGTGTTTTTACAGTTACTTTTTTGTTCTTCGTTTCCTTCTCGTTGGCAAAACAAAATTACAGTCAATCTTCCCTGTGTCTTGTGTCAAATTCATTTCCAAACATGGGTTTTACAGTACGCTTTTTCTTCTTCAGTTCTCCTTCCAATCTAATGAAAACAGAGTCTTATCATTTTACAGGAGAAAACTACATAAAAGAGAGCTTGAACGACACTGCAAAAGCCAGTGTTTCTCAAGTTCAAGATCCCCGTCGTATTCATTGATAAAGAACAGAAATTTCGTGGGTTGTATCAAATTGGGTTACCAAACAAATTGCCCAACAACTTGCAGGAGTGCCAAATTTATGGCCTTTTCTTTTTCCAACTCCTTTTGTCGCATATATTTTTTTGGTTATATGAATATTTTTACTGATGACTGTTGAATTACATTACTTTTCATGGAAGAATGAAGAAGAAAAATAAATCTTTGGGAAGGGAGTGAATGGACAAAAGGCCATCAAGGATCAACCTTGGTATTTTCTTTTCAACAAAATATTGTATACACTCTTCATTTTCTATTTCAATCCTGTTTCTATCATCAAATTGTAATAAGAGCATATGATCTTCAGAACCATGGTGAGTTTCCAATGGTGGCAGAGATGGAAAAAGAAGGATCGGAGATAGTCGAGCTCGTGGAACGACACGAGCTGCTCGGGATCTAGGAAGTTAAACAATTTTTTCCACAGATATAGGGGGAGTGGAAGAGAAGGAAATAGCAGCATCAGAGTATATGGTGGAGGAGCCTTTCATTTCGGTTTTATCAGGTTGATCATCGAAGACCAGCGAGAACTCGAGTTCAAGATCTTAATTTTGAACTTCCCACCAAGATTTGAACAACCCCCCAACATCACTTAAAACTGTAATTCTAAGAAATTCTTGTACATTCTGTCAAAATCCTCAAGATCAAACAAACAGCAACTTGAGAAACCTGTTGCATACTCGGTCAATTCCATATACAGAGAAAATAAAGTAAACAGTGCATTAACTCAAAGCTAAAGGCACAAGCCAGAAGCATATAACTTCATAAACTTGTATGTACAGTGACAAAACTTTGGTCTCTGAGACCAATCAGACAACATCAAACTTCAAATTTTCATACACAAAGCAGTTACGAAACGTGATCGTGATTATCTTTAAGAGTATTCTGTACATGAGTTTTCCCTAACTAGATTCTAGCACACAAAAATGCTCACCAAAAGCACAATTTCTCTTCTTCGGACATTAGAGGAGTTCTGCAAAGAGGACATGTACTGTTCCAGTAGTCCAGCCACTTCTCCAAGCATTCCGTGTGAAAAAGATGGCCACAAGATAAGTGATTTATCTCTGATTCAGGTTCAAATTGAGATAAGCAGACTGAGCAGTCATGTTCAAGACGTTTGGAGCCGTGTACTGTATCAAACCGAATAGTTGGATATCGGTTCCGAAATGCCTCGGTGTAACTCCAAGAGGAACCAAAACTTGAATCTCCCAACTCGGATGGATTTTCAATGAAATCTGATGATGGTACCAAGGATGATGGCGATGAGAGACGGATTCCTACAATTTGAAGGATCAAACGGACAATGCATTTTAACATGGAAATGGACAGTGCCGTGTTTACGACAAGCACGTTGAGAACTCCTTCGGATGGAGCTGGGAGACTAGAGAGGCCCATCGTGGTCGAAGTGAACTTCTCAAACTAAGTAGAGGCAGAAAAAGCCAGCAGCTATTCTTAAGCGACCGATTGAAAATTCGCAAGCCTTTCTTCACATCCGACCTGAAACAAGTCTAACAAACTTAGCAAGTTTCACTACCATGAAGAACTGAACTTCATGAATAAATAATCAGGAAAGAAAATGAACTATACAACTGATTAATGAACATTTGACATTCAAAATATGAACTGAAAGAAGAAAGCAGGGATCAGCAGAAGTAGAAGCAGAATCAGAATCTCTTAAAAGGGGTAAACTTCGAGATAACTGACATTGAAGTGAAGGAAAACAGAAGAGTACTCTTTTGTTCGTTTAAATTATATGAAATTACAGTTTTTTCTAGAATTCAACCACTGGTTGAAAGCCACCACTCAACTATGAATTTGTGTAAGAAAAAAATAAGGGATAAGAAAAAACCCTACGGCTAAAACGGGTCCAATTCCCTAATCTTCGCAGTTCAATTACAAATAATATAATGAATGACATGGAGAAATTCAACAATCTAAAAACCCAAGTACCAAACAATCCCCTGGGGGATTCAAACGCCAGTTTAAGTGAAAAATGGAAACCCTCCTCGATCATTCAAGCTGATGAAGAAAAATAACTTCCAGAAGGCAAAAGTTCATAATCAACCAAAAAATGGAGCAGAGAACGAACTGAAATGCTCATAAAAATGATTCCAGCTTTACAAAATCAAAAACCAGATTAGACCCACTAAAGAAAACAGAACGTTTCTTCAGAAAGATACCCCAAAAATGGAAAACGAACACGAAAGGGGGCAGCGAGAGACTTACTTCAGAGCCTTCGATTAATCAGGACGAAGCTTCAAGAAGAGAGTATAGGATCCGTAAGAACAGAAATTCGAAGAGAGAATGAGGAATTTTTTCAAGATTGGTGATCAATTCATCTTGATTCAACCGATTTTGTGTCCTTCGGCGATTTATATACGCGATCGGAGGAACCTCGTCTGCCCGATCTCACGTGCCTCCACCAAATTTCTCTTTTTTTCTTTTTAGAATAAATGAAAATTATTCACGATTATCTCAAACTAGTGACCCCATATTCTCTAACCACTGCATCCTATTTGTTCAATACTTTCGTCTTAAATTAAATATTTAGTTTACATGTGGTCCGTGTTGTCATTTACTAAATAAGAAACCAAAATATTATTAAATGGCTCGAGCGACTATTTTTAAATTAAAATATCGTGAGTTTGTATTAAAAGAATTTATTATTTTGACTTATAAAATAATATAATAAATATTAAAACAATAAACAATTATCAAATGTAGGAATGAGAAGATTACCAAGCATGTCGTAAAATACTTATCTATTTGATATAGTATAAATTTAAGTTAACATGTGACGACGTGTCTATATATATAAATTAATTTTATGTTTTACTTCAGAAAAAAAACTATGTTGCACATCCGTGTTGAATTATTCATTTGTTAAGTAATTAACGACAACATAATCAAAGCTCATTAATAAATAACATTTACTCACTCGCTAAATGTTAGAGGTTCAAATTCTCGTACTCACGTTTTGTTGTACTCTAAACAAGTGAACACCGTCATTTAATTAATGACAAATATGCATATGGATCCTAACTTAAAGTCTAACGACCTAATTGAAATAGTTTAGATTAGTCTGTAGATATGAATTGAGACAGGAAAAACCATGATTTTTATGAATTGTTTTAAATTATTTAGGCACTAAGTTTGGTTACAACAATGATACAAAAATAATAAAAAATAAAAGGTCAGTTGAAAGTTGGAAGTGACCATGACTTTTAGATTATTTTAAGTGATTTAGGCATTAACTTTGGTTATAATACAACTACTACACTAAAATGTAATTGAATGTCCATGTATTTTGTTTTGACACATATATATGGATATTTAAAATAAAAATTTGAAGAAAATCACCATTATTCTTTGACCTCGTTGGAAAAAAATAATAAAGTAACTCCAAGATAATAGGTCACAATCCCACAACTTTATCGATAACCCGTTATTATAGAGTCAAATGATATTACTCGAAGTGTGGGTAAGTGGATTTTATAGACGGATAATTAGAAAAAATATATGTATATTAATTATATAAAAAGTATACACATTTAACTATAATTTTATTTAAATGTAAAATACAATTGTCAACCAAATTTAACTTAAATTATAGATAAGACAACCAATTTGAACCTGACTCAATTTGTTAAACCATATATTATTGAACAAAAGATCGGATGTTAGAATCTCCATTCTCGGGTATGGTTGAACTGAAAAAAAGATATCTATTGTCACAAAGGTTTTAAATGTCGATGTGGTGGAAATTTCGAGGTTTCAATTTCATAAAAATATCAATCAAAATATCGATACAAAGTAAAGAACAATATTCTATATCATATTAGACTAAAGATTCCCTTTCAGACAATCTCACGGTGGATAGATATTTCTGTAAAAGTTATAAAAATAAAAATAAGTCATAAAAAATATTTAAATTAACAAATAAATATTTTGTCATTTATAAATAAATTAAAGAAAATTAATATTAATATTATGTCTATATGAGTTACACTTTGTTGATATTTTTCATTTGGTATTTTTTTTTTGTAATATTACGATGTCGAACTCCATGGATACATTGCAATATCGACATGTCGACGGATATTTAATACTATGATTGTAACGTGTGGATTCATTGAAATATGACATGTCACTTATATTTAATATTATGTACGTTATCTTTAATATTAACGTTGTTTTTTCGGTACAACACGTATTTTAATCAACTGAACTATGTTGTAGTTAGCATCAATGTATGATGTTTCAATTTTCTAATTGTGGAATTAAACAATAAAATGAGTAAATGCAATCAATCATACATCCAACTAAAAAAATCAACTCAATCATTACCCTAAAACTAATGAGATCGACACGTGTCATGTTCATATTGTCAATATTCTAAGCCACGGCGACAGGAAACTGGCACGGCCTAAATATGGCGGCTCCACACGGAATACGTGTATGTTCCGCAACACGTGTTCCCCTCCTATACGACCACGTAAATTCCCGCGTAATTATTCGTACCTCCACAGATTTTAACATCGTCGATCTTCTGCCAATGTCTGGTCTCCACGTGTCGCTCTGTGAGCGTGCCGTCACCGGATATCGTGGTCCCTCGGCGCAGAGGATCACAACCCAACCGTCCAGGGAGTGACAGGTGGCAAGTGGCATTAAAAAAATGTCCCCCACGGTATGACGTAGACAGAGATAATATTTGCCGTGTCCTAAAATTTTGTTCCGTTTTGCTGTCTTTTTCATTTTTGTTGCACCATTTTCACATTGTTTGGATCGAAAGAAAATTGCCGGGAAAATTCCTTTTAGAGAGAGAAAATTTGTCCTTTTTTTTTAAGTTTGTTCTGCTGATAATTGTTGCCTTGACCAAGTCGACTCGAACCATATTTATTAATAACCCAAAACTAATTTTATGGATGAATGAGAATAAGGTGAAAAAAGAGGAATGATCTGCATATAAGAAAATAGTTAGATATTAATGTGCGATGCCCACTATAACGCAATTTGATTATTAAAGTCGTGTTTGAGAGTGATGGTAGGATGAATGATTTTGAAAAAAATATATTTAAGTATAATTGATTTTTTAAAATAGTGATACCTTAAAAATCAATTTAAAGTTATTTTAAATTTTATTAAAATCAAATTTTTTATCTTCAAAAAAATCAGTGATTTTGATAATGACAATCGTGATTTTGGCTCTTACTCCCAGATATGCCTAAATGCAAGTAATAACTCGTAGATAGTATAACAAAACAATGATAAATTGTGTGTAGTGTATATTGACGATATATAATGAGCTTGAGCTTATTATGAGGTGGATCGATAATGAAAGTGAGTTTGTGGAGGAGATCACTTGGTATGTAGTTTGTTGTACACTAGAGTTTCATCTCACCTATTTACTAATTGGTTGAATGGGAAGTGACAAAAAAAAATCAAGATATTTCATAATGAATGTTCATGTCTTATTAATTTAAGTTGGATTCCATCATGTTAATTTGTAGGAATAATCTTCATTATTGTGAACAATTAAAGTCAAGATAATGGTGTGATTAAGTTACGGAAAAACATCAGAATTACCATATACTAATTTTGTTGGAAAAAAATAATTTATTAAACGCAATCGATATAAGTACATTCGGTACATAATCAAATTACAATTTTAATTTTTCTCCGTTAATCTAACAGTGTAAAACTACGGGCCGCATGGTTGTAGCTCCATCGAATAATTTTGATGGGGACGAGGTAATTTGTCGGTATATAAGAAAGTTGGAGAGAGAAAGAGAAATGAGAGACAGCGATTTAAATGGGGACAAGTTGGGCCAGCTGGTTCTGAAGAGCGGCCCAAACAGATCCATTGAACCATGCGTTGGAAAAGGCCCAACCGCAGCCTTGGGGAAATGAAATCACGTGGGTTTCACATGCAACATTTTTGTCGTCTTTCGTGGTTAAAAACAGGCGGCGTTTGACAATTTGGTCTACTCTTAATTGCTTGACAATGATATCAATTTGTTTCTTTCTCCTTATCTTTCATATATTCTTTCTAAGTCAATTAAAAAATTTATGCGTTTACCGGGTGACAAGAAGCTTGGATATTGAGATCCAAGATCCAGGTTCTATTTGGTGTCTGATTCAGTGTCGATGTAGAATTCCATACAAGATTTTAGATTAACGTGTAATACTTCATCAACATTTTGTTCGAGATAATTTTGAATTGAACATTATGTATAATTATGCGAATAGATCTTAGGGAGAGATTGTCTTGTCATTTCCAACGTTCTGTACCTAATATTTAGATATTATATTGGTGACATCCGTGCGTCTAGGTCAATGGTGAATCTCGCATTGTCTCTTCACTTCGACTTGTTTGATGCGAGACTTTGACACGTGTTTATTGAAAATTGATCATCATAGTATTTTGTACTGTTTAAATAGAACCTAAATGGGATTATATGAATCGATTTATTTCACGACAAATGTCAAATTATTTATGAAGGCAAGTAGACTACTACATAAATTGATGACGTGAAACATTATCCATTATTTTTTTTTCTTTTGTTTGCTTTGTCAGAATTGTACTACATACATGGCTAGAAGTGAGATGAAATTAATCATCTCATTCATAAAAAAAAAAATTAACGACCTTATAATCACCTCATTCATCAAACAAATAAAAACCATATATATATTATTTTGATAACATAAACACCTATATATTTGCATTAAGCATATACACACTTGATAATCGATATATTTTTACCGATGTATTTTTACTTATAACTTTTAATGATCTTCATCTCTGGTGAATAATTCATTGACCATCATACTTTTTTTTTTTCTCTTTTTTGAGAATAAAACTTTACAAATTTGAAAGTGGAGATTCAAATTTTCGATGGAAGATAATTGATGCATTAATCGTTATATTATCATGTGTGTGGGTGATTGTAGCAATATAGACAATTATTTATTTGTTTTTTTAAATAAAAGCTAAATATATGTTTGAGGGGTTAATGTGTGATAATTTGTTCAACTTAATTTCTATGATTTGAAAATTTTAAATTTGGCAACGTGAGTTTAGCTCAAGTATAATTGACATCTACCTCTTACTAAAAGGTAATATGTTTAAATTCTTCACCTCCACTTGTTGTATTAAAAAAAAGTATAGATTCAGTTGTATGCAATTTTAAATTTTGTAGTTATGTCGTTTATGTAAGTCATGTTAAATTTGATTGATGATAAACTTGATGACATGTTACTTAGAAATTTAAATAGAGAGTTTTCAATTCATACTCAAATTAGTAAGAATCTGACAAATTTTCAAATATTTTTTTAAGCGACTTAATTCATCATCTAAACTTTCACCAACTCACTATATCATGTCATATAAGTTTATTATCAACAAACTTTAACTCTAATAAAATGAATTCGTATAATTACAAAACGTTGAAAATTTGTATACAAGAGGAACTTTTTTTTTCTTTTAAAATTTTTTAGTTTAAAAATTCGTAGACATAGGAATCCAAACTTCTAAATTTTTGATCCATGATACATGACTAACTAACCAATTGAGTTATTCTCGTAAAGCATCTAGAACTAATTCGGTATCACGTGCAATCTCAATTGCTGCCCTTCGAGGGCTTTTTATAGAGCCCACAAGGGAGACCAAGATCCAGCCCATATTGAAAATTTAAAGGCTTTCAAAGAGCCCATTAGGAGTGCAAGATCCAGCCCATTTTGAAGGCATTCGTTTAGTGCAAGATCCGGCCTATTTTGAAGGCGTTCGTTTAATTTGGATATTAATTAAAACAAAAAGAAATAGAAATCAAAATTAAACAAAGAAATTATTTTGGAAATTGGAAGAGTGAGAGAAAAAAAAGAGCGATAAACCCTAAAAGCACTACTGTCGAGTGATCAATGGCAGAATAGGAGGAGCGACTTCTCCGACAGAAACCCTCCGCCGGCCGTCACAGGGCTCTTTCGTAACCCTAATTTGCCCCCAAATTCGTGTTCTTCAATCTTGATTCCTAGGTCTTATTTTGTTTGGTGTTGAAGGTGACGGTTGATTTCTGCTGACATTGGTTGAGACTGTTGAAATTTTTGTTGGGATAAGCTGCGTTTTGGATTCAGATACTATGGCTGACGATGCGCTTGCAGTAGAAACAGTGGGAGGTGCGAAGAGGAGGAAGAAGATAGGTTCCAGGAACAAGAAAAGACCGAGGATGACGGGGGGTGGTGGAAATAAAGTGAAGGTTGATAGGAAAATGAAGAAACTTTTTCGTAAACGGGCGCGCGAGTATAATTCAGATGATGACGACGATGAGGAGGAGGAGGCTGCGGCTCCGGCGGTGGGAGATGAGAGTACAGTTTCACTGCGCAGTCCTGAGGAGGATAGAGATGAAGAGTTCCCTGAGGATGAAGGAGGGGAAGGGAAGGATGTGAATGCGGATGCGGAGCTTTCTGAAGACGATGAAAATGGTGAAATTCAACCGGGTATAACTAAGTTTACGGAAGGCTGTAGAGCATTCAGAGCTGCTTTCAGGAGTATTCTCAAGAAAAGCGTATCCGATGAAACTCTGGTAGTTTATAACGTACACTTTTGGGAATTGTTTTCAATGGTTGAAACTTGAAGTAATGAAGAAATGGTTGTGCCAAATTTGTTTTGCAGGGTCCTATATTATCAGCAAACAAGAAGCTTGTTGCTGAAAAGCTTGCTGAAGAGGAAGCTGAGCGGAAGGTGAAAGGAGAAGCCAAGAAGGAGAAACAACTGGTATTTCATTTTAAAATAAAATGCTTTGTCTGTTGTATGATTTAGTTTGCTTAAAATTGGTTGATTGTAAATGTTATTGTAGGTTGCAGAAAAGGGCCATGTGAAACCTGCTAACTACTTGGATTTTCATGAAAAGTTTCTCATTGGCGTTGCGACAAAAGGAGGTAGCTTACTGCTTCATCTTACTTTAAGATGGGTGTGATAGTTTTTTTTACTTTTGGGATTGGGATTATTACATTCAACATCGTCGTACTAACATAGTTTGCTAATCACCATGTGCATTGCTGCTTTCTGGGTTGTCAGTCGTCAAGTTATTTAATGCAGTAAGTAGCCAAATTTTGATTACAGACAACTTCGGTTCTGCGACATCCTCCTTATCTATGTTGCATCGCTTAATTCCCTTAATTTAATATGATACAGGTCAACAAGGCACAACATGCTCAGAAGGGTTTAAATCCTTCGAGAGCTAAAGATGCTAAAGGTATTGTACATCCTATGTATCTCTGATCTTAGAAGTTGCTGAAACCTCTAACTGTGTAGAAGTAATTTAACTTTTCCTTTTTTTCTGGCCGTGTGAATACACAGTCTAAACTTACATTGGATTGATTTGGTTTAACTCTGTTGTTTCTGCCTGTGGTATTGTATTAACCTTATATCCTGTTTTCCAATTGATATGACGTATGCCTTATATTTTGTTTTGGGGTTTAAGTACTTCTTTGTTCTCGATGCAAACCATTTTGTTTAGTCTGACAACGTATTGAGCTTCTACGTTAACGAGTCCTAGGCAACTTTCTTAATTTATTGTCATTGATTAGAACAATATGTATGTAATTGGAGTAACCAGTGATTATAAGGCTTGTGCCTCAGATTTATTGACTTGTTATTCCCCATGCTTTCTCTCAGTCAATTTAATTGCTTCTACCACTGGTAAGATTTTCTTATTTTTTTAGCATAAAATTGCTGGATTGGTTTTGTTTGCATATATTAAGAAACTATTATACTGTTACATTTCTTTCTTTTTTTAGCATGACTGTGAGTGAAATTCTGCCATACTTTTCCATTCTATCCAGTCTCATTCTGGTTTATTTATTTGCTTAATACTGCCAGCTATCACAAAGCGCAGGAAAGAAGCTTTCTTTTCTGAGTTAGGCAAGACAACATTGTCAGCAACAAATAACTCAAAGGTTGGTTATTTTTCTATTTTTTGAGTCGTCTGATTTCTGCTATATGATATATGATAAATTTATTATCTTTTAACAACTTGACAATAAGTTATTTTCATTTTGATCTCTCATAAGAGATTATTACAAATACCCAAGTCTTGCTAACATGAGCAGCAAAGATAATACCTATTCCTCCCCTTAAAGTTGGAGGTTCAAATCTCCACTCCCACATTTGTTATACTCAAATGCAAAACCCGTGTCTTTATGCACATGATGGATCATATTCATGGCCTTTTTAATCATCATCATCATCATTATTGTTTTTGTGCATGGTGGAATGGGGATGGGGTAAATTTAGGTCACAATCATATATGATCTGTTCCTTCAGTTGGATAATGAATTCAAATGGCCACCTCTCTGTTGAACAGGTAAACACATCAGCTGGTGCAGTGGATGCTGAAGGGCCTGCGTGGGCTCCATTACGTGATAATTATATGCTAACCAATTCCAAGTTAAAAGACTGGGACAAGATGCCAGTAAGATACTTTCAAACCTAATATCCTTTGCTCCTTTTCCTTTTTGTGTTCCAATTTTCCATATCATCGTGATCAATTATACTTTCAGGATACAACAACTTTATCTGAGGATGATGGGAGGATGTTGGAAAACAGTAGTTCTGATGACGAGGATTGATCGTTGTAGCTTTAGAGTTGCCTATAGTTTATAAAACTATTTTGGCCTGTTCAGTGTTAACTGCAAGAGTACCCAAAACCATTTCCCTCATATGATGAATGTGGTGGAAAATTTACCATGTATGCCTCAGCTGTGTTATTGAGCCAATTTTTTTGCCTTCTATTTTTTTTGTGCAAATTTTAGTCTCTGCCTTTCTGTGAGATTCAACTGTATAAATGTTGTTCGCTTTCACGAGTTTCCGAGCAAACTGGTTGAAGATGGAAAATTTTGGCCTTGATTTGCATGGATTACATGGTTTAAGAGAAATTTGTCTAGCCTCTTAACAATGTCTTCCTAAAGGTTTCTTCTCCCTTTTGATGATTGTCTTTGTGGGGGTTCAAATCGACGTTGATTTTTGGGCACAAACTGCTATCAGATTGTTAACGGGGTTGGATGGGTCCGTTACAGGTTAAATTTTGCGAGGATTGGAGCAAGGATTTTCCACAGGGAACTCACGGTGGATATCTAAGTTAAATGGGAAACTTTTAAACCTCCTAATAAAGATGAAGATAATATTTTATTTTAGTTTATATATACAATGGAAAAGTAGAAAGGATACCTAAAATGGTGGAGATGGGGATCATATTCTCCAAAAAGTGCAATGTGAAAAATCCTCTTTTGACAAAAGTTTGTTTTGTTTCCAATTAATTTGGTTGATTTTTTGAATTTCATTTTTCATCCTTAAACGTAATTCTTTTAGCTAATTTTTAAATTCTCAAACACCTATCTATCAAAAGTAAAATCTATTTTGAGTGCTATTGTTATATATGAAGTTGTCCATTTTGGGAACAAATCATTCATAACAATGAAAAGTTCATTTAAAATAGTATCAAAATAATGCGATCCTCTTTTACCTTATTTGAGAAATCGAATAACATTCTCATCTTTCCAATTGGAGAATTTGTAAAAGTCCCATTGCGAGAAGTTGAAAGTATGCAAGAGGACTCCGCTCCACTATGCTCGATTTCACCTATTGAAGCATGTGTATACCACGGAAGGAGATGAGCCAAAGATGACCTGTGTGACAAGCAATCAAGAACGTTTGATTCGGTTATACCTTTTGGACTTGCCAATGCCACCTTCCACTCCGACGTGTGAACGTTAGAAATTGTGTGCTTTTAAAAGTTCATAGAAGTTCATAGAAAATAAAAGGGAAATGAAGTACAAAATTGGGTTAAACACTAATACCCATGTTTGCAACATATACATTCATCGTGTAGCATTCACGAAATCATAATCATAAGTTACAACAGTTCAATTTTTTGTTCCAAATATAACTGTTATGGCTGCACATTTCTACCTCATCAAATAAATAGGATTATAAAATTTACATGTCAGTTGGAAAGGAATCAGGATTACCCGGAAACTGAGGGCTTGGTGCAGCCATGCTTGTCAAGAGAAGACTTCCCAGGTGTGAACACATCCATTGCCAGCCAATGATCAAGAATAGTCTTTTTCAAGTTTTAAGTACATAGCAAAGGAGCTGAAGCTGGAATAACCAAGAAAAATATACCCGTTCCCGGAAATCTACATTGTCTTGGAGGCAAATGTTTGCGATTCTTGGATCGTTTGGGGTGGTGTGGATATAGAATCTTCGGCCCCTCGACTTGTATCGATAGAGCTGTTAGACCTGGCTTTTGTACATCTACTCTTTTACCATCTGATGGGAACTTGGGGATCTTTCGTATTCGAATATACTTCCTGTCCTGCACCGGGATATCGATGTTTATCCATAGATTAGAGTATAATGTTGGACCTTTCCAGCCAAGTATCGATGTGTTTTTTTTCTTTTTCTTTTTCCTATCCGTCGAGTTCCAGACGTTTAACTTTCAGTAGCTTCTGGTTTGACTCATCGGATCATAGTCATAAGCTTCTCCAGCTTTAACAAAGCGCCCCTTGACACGTCTTCTCGTATCGGCTCTCACTTTGCGAGAGGCATACCTCACCTTTTTTTCAAACCTGTGATAGGAACAAACAATAGTTGAGAATGCAAAAGCTTTGTGTATAATTATGTAAGAATCTATAAGTGTTAGATCTGGCAAAATTTTCTGTAATGCAAAATTTTCTATTGTGTTAGCAGTCATAAAAGTCATTAAACCAAATTTCTAATTTCTCGAGATTTTCTTGGATTTGAGGAAGGTCCTCCATTCGAACGCTATAATATAAATTCCTCGATAATCGTTTGTTGGGCTTTGTGCTAATTTCCAAGCACGCAAGTGGAAAAGTGTTAAATTATTGATAAAAGATTAAATTTACTCATCTCAAACTTTCAAGTCTAGAGGTGATTTAAAATGATAAACATGTCTGAGCTCATTTCAAATACTCACTTTCGAGCTTTCTTCTTTTCCTTGTAGCGCAGTACAGCATCGCTGCGGTTAGATGACTGGAAAGAGCTCTCAGTGGTCATCGGACACCATGGAGGCTCTCCCATCAGAAGCATTGATGAAGCTCCACAGTCTTGATGATCTCCGGCACTACTCTCTCCGGTCAGGCCAGAAAATGACAGGCTGGAGTGCTCTTGCTTATTGTTATAACAAAGAATTGGTTCAGTCTTCGAACTCATCACAGAATCTGCAGATGCTGCATTACTGCTTGCTGGCCGCATCATATTGTTAACTAACCCAACTGAAGACCCCTGGAATATAAACATCCCCGTTTAGCAAACGACGTCTTTCAATTCTGAATGTCAGGCTTGAACTAAACAATACTTGCCTACACACTGTTCAGTAGGAGTTCCTACTGACTCTCTAATGTAACATTCAATAAAGTTTTTGAGCCAATAAAAACATGCCACATCAGAAAGTTAGTAGGAGCTCCGACTACCTAGTGAGCAGACAAATATTGTTTAATTTAAGTGGCATGCAACTATCGAATTCTTACAAGGCTGTTCATAAGAAACAACCAGCGATGTGCCGATTTTTTTCTCAAGAAAGTAGGTGACAGATAATATCAAAGCAATGAGAGGCTAACTTTTCCAACAAACAATAAAAAAGGCTGTTGTTGCAAGGAGATTGGAGTACCTCTGGGCAACCGGATTTGGCAGCAGATATACCTTTGATCCTGAACAAGCTATCAATACCACCATTCTCTAATAACTCTTCGGAATAACTGCGACATACACCAAATAGTTCATCATAGTTTTCAATATCCAAACCATCTTCGTCCATATTTAAATTCTCGAAGAGGTCGTCCTCAATGTCGAATCCAGGACCTTGTGTTCCACGACAGTGTAACTGCATATTAATATCGTGAAATTTGCAAATATTCTTATGAAAAAACTACTAAGTTCAAAGACATAAATATCATCACGAAAAGTTGTAATCGGATAATTATAGTGAGCGAAGTAAACTAGAGCGACAAAGTTGGTTATAGCAAAGAAAATCTCAACTTTCATGCCTGTAGAGCCATTTACAAGTGTTTATGCAAATATAAAAAAAAAAAACTTGCACCATTTGAAAAAAATATGAGGACAAAATTATCTTCAAGTTATAAGAATGAAGAGTTGATCAAAATGAATATTAACAACTTAGAAAATATAAAAGAACTACTAGATCCAAGTCTTACCTGAAATTAGTGAATTTTAGAGTTCCATTGGAAAGTCTAAAGGTAACAGATTATCAATGTCAATCCAAATATTTATTCAGCAAGGTTCATGACTCCTAGAATAAAAAGCAAAATAATATAGCTTTTGAAAAGAAGTGCTATAACATATAACTTAAGAGTTGTGTACAATGGTAACACTAATTTGGGTTTCTTAACTGGTAAACAGGGGTCGGTTCTTGTGGCAGGCGGCTTAGCAAGTTTACTGTTCTTTAGGGCTCATGGATTGAGAGAAACAACATAGTTTTTCTATGAGCAGAGAGATCTTGAGAGGACGTTTGAGCTCTTATTCGGTTTCATGTTTCCCCCAGTGACCAAAACCCTTTGTAATTACTCATTAGGTTTAATTTTGCTAGATTTCAGCCTGTTCTTTTAGTCTAACTTTCTTTTGTTGGCCTTTTTTAATAAAATAATTAGAGGAAAATAGTGATACCATAGCATTTGAAAAAAGCAAATCATAAGGCGTTAAAATGGTAGATAGATGGCTATTAGGACATGAATCTATTATCTTGAAAGTATTAAAAATTTTGACTTGTCCTTTCGACATATGTCGGTAAAATTAGGGCTATATACTTCTGCCCACTAGTTTGGCTTATAAACAAGCATTTTGGCCAGAAGCAAACCATATAAGAAGGATTTGGATTCAATGAAACAGCATAAATGAATAATTTCATGCTACATATGCAATCATTTTAATTAACTCATAACTTTCTTGTGGAGAATATGATTTACCATTATATACCTTGGGTGAAGTTACATCTGTAGTCATTTGTTGGTCCATAATCTGAGGCTTGGATAAATATTGAGGCACTGAAGAGGATCCGTACCAAATTGATTTATCCAAACTTGACAATCCAGTGGTTTCATCATTTTGACCAGCATTATCATCAGGACCCCAGGCATTTACTGCACTATTTTCAGCAATACTCATCAATCCTAATTCTTGCTCACAAGCATCACTTACAGAAGGGAGATCTAGAACAAATGACCAGATAGATGAGAGCTCTGCAGCCGTTGGGCATCCGGAGTAACAATTGATCGGTTGCCTCTTCCGAGACGAAATGGAGGCAGATGAGCTATGCCCCATATAATCACAACTTTGACAAAGAGAAATATTCTCCTCAGGACATCTAACAAATGCAGGTTGCGAATGGCACCTATCACATAACAACGTTCTTGAGTGGCGCCTTGACAAAGCGTTAGCAGAGTGAACATTACGGTCACAAGATAAGCACAAAGCTGCAGAATCAGATCGGCAGTAAACTATCGCCCTTTGATGCGCACAGAAATCACATATGTAACCCATACTGCATCAGATCTCCTCGAGCCTTTCCCCTAAGAGATTGTTTTAGATTGCCAAAGCTAGAATCAACTATAGAAACAAGCGAAATGCAGCTTCTGCAATAAATAAAAAACAAATTAATTAAAAATTTATCACTCCCCAAATCTTCACCAATGCCAAACAAGGCAGTTTCTAACTTTAACAAGAGAAATCTGTTAGCAAGAACCCAACCTACAAATGAAAATATATCCTATGCCCATCATTTCCCCCCACTACAAAACTACATAAGTTAATCTGCTCAAATTCAGAACTATGTATATATAAATCTGTCCAGAAATGGTAAATATTCTCCTTTCCATTCAAGAACCTATAATTGGGAAACTGAATCTGCCTTTAAGTGGAAAGATATGGTCACTACCCATGGCCCCCAGCCTCCAAGAAATTAGCACAAATTCATATCCAGCACAAGAATAAAGGGGAAGAGATGAAAAACTTTCGTGGACATTCAATTCTGACCCATGAGTACCATGGGCACAATAAATAGAGTTAATTTCCTGCAATGATTTCATGGACTGAATAAATCAGACGGCTAACTCTTTTGCACAATCAGAACCGAAAAACCGTGGCAAAAACACATGAATTCAAAAAATTTAATGCAACCCACTTGAGCATAGAACCAAAACATGAACAATAACCCAACAACAAGAAGTTTGATGCAAAAACAAGAAAAGGGGTACTCAGCAGAAGGCTCCCACATTCAAAATCGGGCAAATTTTTTTACAGAAATCAGTTCCCAAGAAGATGGAAACACACAACAGAAGAAAAACACTAATATTACCAAACAGAAAAATGGAGAAAGGGAAGGGGAAGAGGAGGAAGAACTGAGAAGTACAAAAAGGAAATAGGCTCAAAGAAAGAAATTACCGTACCTAGAAAACACAAACAAAGATCGCTAAAAGGGGGCTTTTGATCGCTGAAAGTTCTTGAATCTCTCTTAATCTGATTCTGGGTTTCTTTTTTCCCCTTGGTTCAGATGGATAGAGGAGGAGGAAGAGGAGGATATGGGGTGGATGTGGGCATGTGTGAGAAGGAGAAAAATGACATAACCCAATTAAAAAAACTAAAAAAGGTTTCTTTTTTTAGATGATAATGAAAAAATAGAGCAGAAAGGAGAAGAGGGAAAATCTAAGAATAAATGTTAGAGAAGAAAAATGGGATTAGAGAAAATGGGTCATTGTCCTTTATGAAGGAAGTTAGGCCCTCACTCTGCATTAATGGTCCCTCCTATTGAATGCATCAAAACCTACTTGGCATGTGCTTTGCCAATTGCCATTTCCCATTTTTCCTGACTCAGCTGTGGATTTAATTGCCCAAAAGCCAAAAAGGGTACTTTTTTATTCTTAAAGAATTTTGGTAATATTATTATATTCTTTTCAAGTATAATATTATATATGTCATAAGAGATATTATAGTTTATGAAGAGATGAGTACTTGCTTGGTTGAGTGTATCTTTCAACAAGAACTTTTCTTTTTTATTATTTCTTTTGAGAATTAAAAGAAAATAAGCATAACCCAATTCATGATTTGTAAGTTGTCATTAGAAAATAAGAAAACAATTTTGTGATATTACTTTGAAAAAGTTGTTCTAAAGGAGCCGTCTTTGAGCTACACATGGGTTTTGCAATAATATTAATTAAATGATCAAATTAAGCTAAATTCATGAAGTGTACATCACTAAATGTTCTAAAGTTCCGACTTTATGGTAAATGTTACAAACTTTCCAATTAAATAGCTACTCAATTGTTGAGTTGTGTTGTACTTAAAAAAAAATGTTGGGTTGTGTGGAGTCCAAACCACCAAACTTATTGAAGGTTGTTTTCAAAGTTTGGATTGAAAGAAAGGGAGGAATGGAGTAAAAGAGCACTGCAGAGTTAAAAGTCGAGAACGCAGTCTAGGCGCTATACTTGGATGCCTAGGTATGGCACCGCGACGCTATCGTAGAACGTTGTGGCACTTCTAATTTCTTGGCTATGACACTAGTTCGTGTAGGCAATAAAGTCCTAGACGTTTTCTATTTAGATGAGGCATTTACCTTTCTTTAGATATGAATCGTCAGTGAGCTGCTAGTAGCCCCAAGGAGAAGTGAGAGAAAAGAGTGCGTTTATTCTTCTATGAGGCGTGAGAGAGTCATAGACAAAGAGTTCAAGTAACCATTGTTGCGTTCTCTAGAGAATTAGGTAGCGCGTTGAGAAATCTCATTATAATTTTCATATTATAGTATAACTTGTAGACTAGACGTACTCTGAGTTTGAGATGAATCTATATAAACTATGGTGTTAGTTTTTCTATCATTACTTTGACTTTCCTTCTATTATTAGGATTGATTTCCTTGTAACGTGCAGATTTAAATGTCTTTTAATCAATGAGATATGAAGCGTGGTAAAATCTTCTTGGGTAAGCTTAGTTTAGGTAAGATTAATTTATTTGAGCCAGTATTTTTTTCTTTTTCCAAATATCACGTCACAACCGCGGAAATTTGAACCCTAATGAAATAGAGACGTCTAGATCATTGAACTCTACCTATATTGGTACTAAGATAAATATTAAAAAATTGTTAAAATTCTTCTCATTCAAATTTTAGTACGACGTGTGGGAGTGATGATTCAAACTTACAACTTTTTAGTTGGAGATATGTGTCAATTACTACTGAACAACGCTCTCTTGGTCATTAAAATTTTAGTAATTATTTATTTAAGTAAACAACAGAAAATACGTGATTTGAGGGAGCAATGTCATATGAGAGAGATTGTTTGGTTGCATACGCTAGAGCTTGTGCTTGTGTGTGATTTTCCAATACATAATTTCCCATTTGGTGCAATTAGGCATCCACTTAATCATCTATGCATACAAAATTATGCCTTTTTTGGGGCAAATAAAATACAAATTTCAAATCCTCACCCAATTTTTTTTTTCAACAATTAGTACTTAGTAGCTTTGTCTATGTGATTCTATTTTAATCTTGAATTTTTAACTTTTTTTTTTCAATTTCATCCAACCTTCAATTTGAGGAATTGTGACATCATTACTATTTCCTTAAACAAAATTAGAAAA